GGACTACCCCCCTGCACCTCCCACTCCTGCAGGTCTCTTGACCTGGAACCAGAGCCCTAACCATTTGGCAACCCTGCCCCTGAGCACGCCCAGCACTGAGTGCGCCCGCCAGGTGGAGAGCATCAGCGTGTCCAGACGCAGCTGCCCTTCCAGGCTTACTAAGCACACAGTAAGCTGCTCTCCCCTCACCCCTCCCCGCCCAGGCCCCACCACCACCCAAGGCTGGTCTCAGCTCCCGGCTTGGCAGGGAGAAAGCTGAGGCCCTCGGAGGGCCCAGGCCTCCCCCACTTGCCCTGACGCCCGGACAAGCGTGTGTGGAAAGTCCCGGGGGTGGGGAGGGACAGGAGGACTATCTTTAACCCTGTTCCTCTCTAGGAGCTCAGAGGCCGGGGCACGGTGGTGGGTCTGAGGCCCCCGCAGAAGGAAGCCACGCTGGCCGATGAGGGGATGAAGCTCACGAGGGGAGGAGAGCCCTGGACAGAAGGGTTGAGGGTTCAATTCCAGTCACGGGCATGGGCCTTGGTTGCAGGCTCGATCCCTGACCAGCCGGGCACCTGCGGGAGGTGGCCAATCGACAGGCCTCTCTCACGTGGACGTTTCTCTCTCTTCCTCTCCCCCCCCTTCCTCCTGCTCCCCGTGAAAACCTGTGTAAAAACACCCTCGGGGGAGGATTAACAACAGAAAAAGGAGGAAAGGAGGTGAGGGGGTGAGGCAGCTCCAGTGCCAGGAGCGGGGCAGCGCCTGTCTCCCGTCTTCGCCAGGGTGAGGCTGTGTGCCCACACGTGGGACACGTGTGGCAGGGGAGGCGCCACACCTTTGCCACACGTGTCCCACCCCTGGGGCTCTGCCAGGATCAAATCTGGGGAGACCATCCACCACTGGTGGGCCTCCCTTGGAGGGGGGGAGGGGTCCCTCCAGTTCTCCCCCAAGCCTCTGTCCCAGCCCAGAGGGGCAGCAGGCACAGGACAGGTGGCTAATCTGACGCAGGAGACCCAAGACGGAGCCCAGGCCCCACCACCACCACCACCAGCCCAGTGGGACCAGAGCAAGTCCCTGGACCTCTCCAAGCCTCAGTCTGCCCATCTCTGATATGGGACCATGGGGCGCTCTGAACATAAATTTCCCCGGAGTCCCAGCTCCTTTTGTGCAAGACCAGCACCCACGGCTGCTGACGGCGGCTCAGCTTCGTCTCAGGAGGGAGTGGACAGGCTTATCGAACCCGCCATTGTCTTCGCTGACCTTTGCTCCCGGCCAGGCTGGGCTTCAGAAGAGCCTCCTGAGGAGCCGGCCAGCAGAGGAGGCCGCGCAGGAGGCCTGAGCTGGGTGGCCCCTCTCCGGTGGAGCCATCTATCTTCTCCTGAAGGCCAGGACCACCCCGCCTGACCCTCCCTTTAAACCAACAACAACACCCGCCAGAGAACAAACCCGTCTTATTTTGAGAAGCTCACGTCTTAAACCCAAACTTTAAAAAGTAAACAGAGCCGTGGTTCCCAGGCATGCTGGAGGTCCTGGCTCCCCAGTGAGCTCCAGGGGTGTGGCCGGGGGTGGGGGAGGGACCGGGACTGACATGCACAGGGACAAGCGGGAGGGGAGGGGAGGGGAGGGGAGGAGAGGGGAGGAGGGGGCATGAAGGATGGGGGAAGGGCAAGGGAGAATTGCTGGAAATGCTTTTGTTTGAAACCTCATCAGTTCCAGGGGCAGCCTGACGGGCTGGCGTTTGGGGTTCACCTGCCTCAGGGTGCCCCACTGGGTCAGAGTAAGGAGCCCTCAAGTCCAGATTATAATAATTGGCCCTCAGTCAAAACCACCAGGAGAAGGAGGGGTGGGGGTGCTATTTGCATACCCATTCAGAGGCCCACCAGCCACCCAGGATGGGCCACACCCCGCCAGCGGCCAGGCACCCCGCAGCTCCCGAGAGAAGACGGGAGGGTCCCGTTCCCTGGGCTCATCGGCAGGTGCAGCCAGACACAGGCCCACACAGCCACTCAGAGGGGCCGCCTGTGTGAGCCCCCAAAAGCGTCCCCCCGGGTTTCTCCGGAGGAGCCCTGGGGAGAATATTCCCGAAGAGGATTCGGACAGCTGCTGAGCCCGGCCCTGGGCAGACCTGGCTCCCTCGCCCTCTGCCCGCCGTGGGAAGGGGCCCTCGGGGCTTGCCCTGCGCTGCAGGAGGAGCAGAGGCCCAGTCAGACCCAGTAACGTGCAGAGACCAGAGGCGGCGAACCCCAGATGAACTGGCCCCCTCCAGGTAACGAGGGTTATCAACCATCTGCTCAGGGGTCCCTGATAAGGAAGTGACACTTCCCAGAGTGGGGGAAGAGGGGCAAACCGGGGTCAGGAATCAAGAATAGGGACTCGCCAGTGTCTCCTGATAACGGTATCAGCCAGCATGACAGCAGCCACAGAGGCAAGCCAGCCCACCGCCCAGCAGGAGAGCCCGGGGGGGGGGGGGGGGGAAGGGAGGGCCGGCGCCTGGACCGGAGACCCTTCCACCTCCCCCAGCCTGCTCTGCGCCCAACTTCAAGCTGCAGGTCTGAGGACAGAGCCGCACTGCTCCAAAAAGGGCCTTTCCTGATCTCCAGGCATCCTATTCATGTGGGGAGACCGTCTCAAGGCCACACATGACTTCAGAGACAAAACTAAACAATGGCAATCCTGTCGGGCACTGAGGTCGGTGATAACGATGCCCAACAGGACTGTCACAGCGTTGCCATCTCCGTCTGTGGCAGCCCTGCCCGAGTGTGCAAGAGACTCGGTGAGGGGGGCGGGGCGGGACATGGGGCATAGGCTCTGCAGGAAACCCTACTCCTCAACCCCCACCCACCCCGGTGGGGTGGAAACCCTCAGGTCCACTCCTGCATCCCTGCCAACTGCAACCCACACGCTGCGCCAGACCAGGGCCCGTGTCAGACGCCACCAGACTCCCCGGCAAATACGCCAGGACCTCAGCACCTCAGCGCCCTGCAGGGAGCCACTCTCGCCAAGTGCCACCCATGACACAGCTCAAAACCAGCAACGGCCAAAACCGGTTTGGCTCAATGGATAGAGCGTCGGCTTGGGGACTGAAGGGTCCGGGGTTTGATTCCGGTCAAGGGCATTCCTTGGTTGCGAGCATATCCCCAGTAGGGGGTGTGCAAGAGGCAGCTGATCGATGACTCTCTCTCATCGATGTTTCTAACCCTCTATCTCTCTCCCTTCCTCTCTGCACAAAATCAATAAAATATATATTTTTTTAAAAAAACCAGCAACGCCTCCCGTCCCAGCCAGAGGGCTGCAGCAGTCCCCTCCTCCGCACTGCACCTGGAAGGTCCAGACCCCGGACTCTCCCTCTCCCCCCAGAAGGCTAGGCCAGAGACGCTGGGACAAGGGCCCCGCACTCTCCAAGCCCTGAAACCCCAACAAAGTCAACTCCGAGCTACTGCTTTGGCCTTAAGGAGCTAGTGGTGGGAGGTGGGGTTGGATACAGAGTTACCGAAAGTAACCCGAGTTGTGGTCGTAGATTGCTAATCAGTAACAAAATATCCCTCTCAACCCAGTCCTGCCCTGAACTCGCTGGCTGGGGAGGTAAATAAAGGAAAAACTGTGCGACACTATAGCACCGCATCTCCTGGACCCAGTTCCCACCCCACCCCGAGGCCTGCAGTTGCCACCAAACCACAGACAGAGCGCGTTCTCCCCTGCTGAGGCTGTCGCGGAGGGGAAGAATCCTCACTCAAGGCCTAATAGGTTTTCTCTGAACGAGGAAAGCCTTTGAAAGGACCAGAAAGGGCCCAGCCGGTGTGGCTCAGTGGTTGAGTATCAACCTCTGAACCAGGAGGTCATGGTTCCATCCCTGGTCAGAGCACATGGCCGGGTTTGGGGCTCCATCCCAATGTGGGGCGTGCAGGAGGCAGCTGATCCATGATTTGCTCTCGTTTTTTTATGTTTCTATCTCTCTTTCCCTCTTCCTTCCTCTTTCAAAATCAATAAAAATATATTTTAAAAAAGAACCAGAAAGAGCCGTTTCACCCACCTTCGGGCATATAGTTCAGGTAGTAGCGATTGCCACCAGAACCGCAGAACCGGGAGCCAAGCCACCAAAAAATGTGGAAAAACCGGGAGGCAGGGAAGAGACAGCAGGGGGGAGGGCCCCTCACCAGAGGGCTGGGAGGAGGTGTCCCTGCCCTGCTCCGCAGCCCCAGCCAGGGGTGCCAGGCCCTGGGCCCGCAGTCACAAGGCGAGGAAGACAGCAGCTGAGCTTTCCTGGGGCCAAAGGTCCTCCCACCCACACCCTGCCACCCACCGCCTGGCACTTCCTAGACGGCACCCACAGCTGATGAAACCCTGCGGGAGCTTTCTCTCCACCTCACCTCTCCCAGGCAGGGATCACCATCCCCATTCTACAGGCGGGAAAACTGAGGCACCACCCGGAGCCAAGCCAAGCGTACACATCCCTCTGGCAAGTCTTAGAGCCTCTCCTGGCTGCCTGTGCTCCTTCCAACCCACAGGCGGCCCCTGGAGGCCCAGGCTTAATCCCAGCCCCAGGGCACTCCTGGGTGCAGTGCTGCTTGGGGCAGCCTGTTGCTCCCCATCAAAGGGGAAATTCACAGGAGCTGTAAAGGCCTGTTTTTGTTTGTTTGTTTGTTTTGCGGGGGGGGGGGTGTTTGTTTGTTTTTTGCCTGTGAGCTTTGGGCTGGAGGACAGGGATTTCCAGGCCGAGATCAGCGCTCATCCCCCCCCCCCCCCCCCTCCTTCCCCGACAGCCCTGCAGTGCGGGACCTTCACGCTGATGACCCCGCAGGAGACAAACTTTTCTGGGATCTGGGGTCCCGCCTGCCTGCGGATGAGAGGCTGGCCAGGGCCACGCCTCCATCCCTGGACCAGAAAAACGCCACCCAACGCCCTGCTGCCGTGGACCCGAGGTCCCCCCGCGTGCAGTGCGGGACGCCCGCCGGAGGAGAGAGCGACAGGGAGCGGCCGGGAGAGGGAGCGGAGGGAAGGGGAGGGGCCGCCGCCGCGCTTACCGTGCAGGCCGTTGGGGATGCTCCGGTGGTGCGCCGGCGCCGACAGGTCGTCCAGGGACCGGCGCGTGGCCGCGCTCTTGCCGTCGGGGATCTTGTGCGGCCCCGGGGGCAGCGGCGGGGGCGGCACGTGGTGGAGGTGGTGGTGGTGGTCGGGGCTGCCGCCGCTGCCCGCGCTCGACGTGCTGCTGCCGTCGCCCACGTCGCGGGCCCCCGTGCCCGCCGCGCCGCCCGCCAGCGGCCCGCTCAGGCTGGCCTGGCTGTCGATGGAGCTGCGGGAGCCCGCGCCGCCGCCCCCGCCGCCGGGGCCGCCCGCGCCCCCTGCCAGCGCCGCGCGCTCCTCGTCCAGCAGCAGCACCAGCTCCTTGAGCTCCAGGTTCTCGCGCAGCAGGGCCTCCTGGCGCGCCTCGAGCTCGCGCAGCTTCTGCTGGGAGCGGGCCACCTCGTGCCACACGGCGCCGGCCGCGTGGCGCCCGAAGCGCTGCCACTCGCGCGCCAGCTTGCGCCCCTTCTGCCGGTCGTCGTCCAGGAAGCAGCAGAGCTCGCGCAGCTCCTGGTTGTCGTCCTGCAGCCGCTGGTTCACGTCCTTGAGGCCGCGGATCTCCAGCAGGTGCTGCTGCAGCCGCCGGTTCACGTCGCGCATCAGGCCGCCGTGCTCCAGCATGAGGCCCACCTTCTCGCCCTCGGCGCGCCGCAGCCGCCGCGCCAGCTCCTCCTTGCTCCAGCGCAGCAGCTCCTCGTCCGGCACCTGGCTCAGCTCCTCCGCCGCCGCCGCGGCCGCCGCTGCCGCCGGGGGCTTCGCCATGGCGGGGCCGTCACCGCGGCATCGCCCGCGCCCTCCTCGCCCGGCCAGCGCTCCCCGCGCCGGGGCTGCGCCGGGCCGGTCCGCGCGTGGGAGGGGGACCGGCGGGGGCGAGGGCGGCCCGCTCCGCTCCGCGCCGCGCCGCCCGGCGTGTCCTCACGGTGCGCGCACTCGGGCCGCCGGGGAGCCTTGCGCCTGCGGATCCGGCGAGCAGAGACCGCGGCGGTGAGTGTGCGGCCGCCGCGCCGGGCTCTCTCCGGGCTCGGGCGCAGGCAGGCGGGGAGGCCCGCCCCCGGCCCAGCTCCCGGAGCCCCGGCCGCCCCGCCCACTCCGGGCGGGGAGGAGGCGGGGTGCCGCGCCCCGGCCCCGCCTCCAGGGAAAGCGAGGGGGCGAGCGGAGACGCGCCCGGGCCCCGGCGTCCCCCCCACTGCGGTGCGCTCGCCCGCCCGGCACCCCCGCCATAGGCGTGTCAGAGCCAAGGTCCCGCCCCCCGGCCCGTCCTATTGGGCCTCTCTGAGGGCGTGTGGGCGGGGCGGGGCGCGCGCGGGGGCCGCTGCCGAGATGGTACGACCCACCCCTGGGGTTTCCAGCTCCCCCCCTCCCGCCGGCGGTTCAAGTTTCTGCTCCGGGAGGACGCGGCCCGAGCCAATCCCGGGGCTCCAGGGCGCTTTTAAAATGCAGGTACCGAGCGGGGCGGGCGGCGGTGGGAAAGGTAGGGCTGGGCTTTCCTTAAAGGAGACGCGCAGGGACGAGCGCGGAGCCCCTTCTCCAGCCCGCGCGCCCCGCCCGCCCTCCCCCGCTCCACAAAAACAGACACCCGGGACCCCGAGGACAGGTCCCCTTCCCCCTCCCAGGGCACCAGGGTCCAGCGCAGCCGGAGCCACGCACCAACCAGACAATAGGACTCTGACATGGGGGTCGCCCTTCCGGCTGCGGGGCGGCTTTGTCCCCTCCCCTGCCCCCGGCTCACGCCCCCCGGAGGGCGCAGCGGGGCCGCGTCTCCACTCCCGCCGGGGACGGTGGCTCCGGCGTCGGTGCACCGGGAGGTCAGGGCCTCGCCAGCCGCGTCCCGGAGCGACGTCCGTACCCGCTTCCCTGCCCCAAGGAGGCGAGGGCGCCGCGGGGAACGTGCCCCGCGCCCCTTGGAGAACCCTCCCCGCCCACCCGGCCGGCCGCGCGTCCCGGGGACTCCGGGGAGAATCTCCGGTTCTCCCGGTGGGGACCACCGGAGCCTGAACGCCGCCGGGGTTGCCGGGCGCGGAGCCGGCCGCAGAGCCCCTCCCCGCCGGGGCTGCCGACAGCTGCGCCCCTTCCCGCAGCCGGGGAGTCTGCCTCGTTATCTCCGCGTCCCCGGAGCGCATGGATGGCGCGTCTGCTGGGAGCGGAGCGGAGGGGGGCGTGGACCTCCCGGGACCCGCGGGGAGATCAATAAAACCCGCGTTCCCGACCCGGAACGGCCGCAGCCCGGAGCGCGCGCCAGCTGATGTCCCGGTTTACAGCGGCGCAGCCATGCACCAGCCACCACCCAGCACCTACTCTAGCTAGACCATTCCCCCTCTCTCCTCCACCACCACCACCACCAGGGCTTCCGCAGAGGACGGCAGCTGCAGCCACAGCTCCCGGAGGGAACTTTGCCCTCTGGGAGAAGGGAAGAGAGAAAATAAATGAGTTAACCAGGAGGCTGTCATAAGCTGCGACCACAGAAAGTGATAATCAGTCACTTTAGATCCCAGAGTCAGGGCGGACCTCGGACCAGGTGCTTCTAATCTGAGATCGGAGCGAAAAGAAGGACAAAGATAAGAGGGAAGGGCACTCTGGCTGGAGGGGAAAGCTAGTACCGTGGCCCCAGGGTGAACGGCCTATTCCAGGAGCGCCAGTGGGGCTGGGCCTGGGGCTGGGCCTGGGAGGCGGATGGGAGATGAGGCTGGCGGGGCCAGCTCATGCATGATTCTAAAGCAGCTGGGAAAGCCATGGGGGTTAGCAGGAAGCAACATGACCCAGTTTGCCTTTTAAGAGGCTCACTCCCGGACCATATGTGGAGAGGGATTGGGGGGAGGGGCGTGGGCACAGAGAGGCCCAGATTCAGGACCTCCTTCCCCACCCACCAGCCCCTCTTTGCAGCCGATGGTCAGGAGGGGGCAGGGGGAGGTGAGAGGATGAGCCTCAAGGGCATAGCTTGGAGGGTTAAGCCCCAGGGAAGCTGAGGGTCGCCCACACATGGCCCAGGTGGGCCTGTGGAACCAGGGCCTCCGTGCCCAAGACCCACAGGAGCACCCCTCACATCCCCATGGTGCGGCAAAGACAGTCAGGAGATGAGGCTCCTGGTGCTTTGAGAGACAGGGTCTGTCCAGCACCATGGCTGGACAGGCCTGGGCAGAACAGGCTAGCCCCATAGGAGGTGGCAAGGGCCCAGAGCTCAGATGGGTGCCTGAAGCAAAGCCAGAGCCACCAGAACAAAAAAAAAAAAAAAAAAAAAAATCCCCCAGGGCCCAGCAAATGGCACCAAGCCCCCTAGAATACTCACGGCCCCACAGACCCAGTGCCCTGAGCCAGGAACTCAGGAATGTCAAGTGTGCGTGCTTGTTCAGCCTTCGGTCATGAAAGCCCTGGCTTGTCATGGAAACGGTAACGGCAGATCATGGACACCTAACACTAGTGAACATCGTTGTGGGTCTTTTTTATTTTTTTTAAATATATTTTATTTATTTTTTTACAGAGAAGAAGGGAAAGGGAGAGAGTTAGAAACATTGATGAGAGAGAAACATCAATCAGTTGCCTCCTGCACACCCCCTACTGGGGATGTGTCCACAACCAAGGTACATTGCCCTTGACCAGAATCGAACCCGGGACCCTTGAGTCTGCAGGCCAACACTCCCTCCACTGAGTCAAAGCGGTCAAGGCTGTTGTGGGTCATTTTAAACACCAAGGCGTACCCTCCTCTACTTGCTTCCCAGACTCTCCCAGGCTGGGAGACGATTGGAAGCCACAGTAATGTTTCTGAGCGCGGGCTGGGGTGGGAGCTGGCACAGAGCAGACAACATACTCCAAAACGCAGGCTCTGTGAACCGGGAGACGGGCTGCACGGTGGTCAGTGATTGCCTCCCATCGGGAGGGACGGGGCTCTCTCAGCCTCGGGCCTGGCGGGGGCCCTGAGCACAGACCCCGCACAGGCACCAGCTGGCGTTTGCTGAGAGAATGTGGGTCCCTCCGGTGCAGGACCAATGAACCCTGAGCCCCTCGTTTTGAAGCTGAGGAAACGGCCGCCGGAAGATCACATGCACCGCCCAGGGTCACTTTCATTCATTGGCTGACCGAACACAGAAACATCACATGTGTCTTTCTCCACATATGTGTGTATATATGTGCAATCACATGTGTATTGTAAACTGTACCACAAAAGAGAGGAGCTGAATGCATCATTCTGGGAACATGCTGGGAAACGGAGCTGCTTCCTGGAGGAGGTGACACTGGAGCTGGATCTTGAAGAACAAGTAGGAGTTTGTCAGCCGAAACCGGTTTGGCTCAGTGGATTGAGCGTCAGTCTGCGGAAAGGTCCCAGGTTCGATTCCGGTCAAGAGCATGTACCTTGGTTGGGGGCACATCCCCAGTAGGGGGTGTGCAAGAGGCAGCTGATCGATGTTTCTTTCTCATCAATGTTTCTAACTCTCTGTCTCTCTCCCTTCCTCTCTGTAAAAAAATCAATAAAATATATTTTTTTAAAAAACAAGTAGGAGTTTGTCAGATTGTTGGGAGGGAACAGCACACACCGAGGCCCAGAGGTGAGCAACAGGGAGGCTTGTGTAGACCCAGCCGTGCCCACAGCTGGAGTGTGAGAGCGGCCCTGGGAGCCTCTGCAGGAAGTATGGCGCCTCCCTGGGGCTGTGCTAGTGAACAACAACAATCACTACCACCTACCAGCACCCAGTATGCGCCAGGCGTTCTAACCATCCCTCACGGGGTGGTCAACAGCCCTAGGAGACGCCATTGGCCTTCCTGGATTGAACAGAGATTCCTGCAGGCCTGGTGGTTTGTCTCCACCAAACTCAGATCACCGAGTGTTCAGAGGCCCGTGGATGCCTGGGGATCCGGGGTGGTCAGCAGAGGGCTGTGTGGTGGCTGACTACTTCTGCAGTCCAGGAGGAGAGAGCAGCTGACCAGTTCTGGGGCCTGACTTGGGGTTCCTTCCCTGCTCCCTGGGGGACCCTGAAATGGGAGGTCACCATACAGGACTGAAATGCAGCAATAAAGCAGGGCCCATGGGAAAGAGACTGTAGGTTTTTTGTTTTTGGTTTTTTTAAAATATATTTTATTGATATTTCACAGAGACTAGGAAGGGAGAGAGATAGAGAGCTACAATAGAAACGTCGATGAGAGAGAAACATCGACCAGCTGCCTCTTGCACACCCCGCCCAGGGATGTGCCCACAACCAATGTACATGCCCTTGACCGGAATCGAACCCGGGACCTTTCAGTTCGTAGACCGACGCTCTACCACTGAGCCAAACCGGCTTCGGCTGTTTGTTTGTTTGTTTGTTTGTTTGTTTTTTAACCAGTCTCGGCATGGAGAGCCAAATTGTTTAAACTTAAACTTCTTCTGACGCCACTTCTTCAAAATAGACTCGCCCAGGCCGTGGTATTTTGTGGAAGAGCCACACTCAAGGGGCCAAAGCCGCATGTGGCTCGAGAGCCGCAGTTTGCTGACCACGGCCTTGACTGGAATCGAACCTGGGACCCTTCAGTCCACAGGCCGACACGCTAGCCACTGATCCAAACCAGTCAGGGCCGGACAATGCTTTTTAAATGCATTGAGGTGAGAGCTGGGCCTGACTCAGTTTCCCCTGTGGTTGAGCCTCCCCTCAGGCCTTGCTGCCAAGGGCGATGGTGTGAGGGGACATGAGTGGCTCCACCTGGAGGGAGAAGGGGCAGAGAGAGGTGTAGACTCTGGCGACCCCTCCCATGGGTCCCTGCTGGGCGATCTCCCTGGCCTCTGCCCAGCCTGGCTCTGCCGCCTGCTGCTGCCTCTCAGCCTCAGCAGACCCTCTGAGCCATCCCTCCCCAAACACCCCCATCACCACACCCCCATCGCGTGTTCTCTGGGAAGTTAGCCTGGCCCGATCTCTCTTCTGCTTTATGTTCTTCTGTGGCTCCCACTGAGCTCGGGTTAGCCTTTCGGCTTTTGCCGGTGACACCGTGGTTCCAGGCAGCCGTCCTGTGCTTTGCTGTTCTGTGACGTGTGTGTGAGCCCACCTCCCCCTAAACCGCCCACTGCTGCCCTCCGGGGGGCTGGCCTCCTGCACACGCTCGTGCTGGTGGCCCGGGGCAG